AAAATAACGTTATGCTGATACATTTGAAAGCTTAAAAAATCCTAAGGGCTGCTTAAGAACACATTTTTAACATAAAAATAGAATTTATAAATTCTACACTGGCTTTTCTATTTCAAAATTCTGGGAGTCTAAGAGATGAAATAAAAAGTTCATCAATCAGTGGAAAATTTATGGGTTAGCACCATTTTCTGTATGGCTAGCTAATCTAGCTTCTATCAGGGACTGCCCTCCACCAGAAGCTGATCAATCAGTGGGAGGACTCACCTTCGCCTCTTGCTCATTGAAACTATTCGTGCTAAACATCTGGGCCACGGCCTCAAATGCTGCTGTGAGTGGCAGCATGAATTGCTCATACTGATCTTCATCCTCTCCTGTAAGGGAAATAAAGCGGATGTGACCCCAATATATAAAATTCAAAGCTGTGTATGCACAGACAATCAGATGGTCTGAAAGATGAGCAGACCCAAGGGTAATTCAAGGGGCCCTTTATTATCCCAAAGGTATTAGCAGTAATTTCAGAATAAAATGTATATACAGAAACAATTTTTTAAACTAGAAAATGGCAGAAATCATCTAGTCCAGGGACGTTCCATGGTTTTCAATCCTGAGCTAGACTATCAGAGGTTCACCCGTGTATAAGGTACTATGTTATGTATTTATTTTTACTCAAGTGAGAACTATAGGCAGCAGAGAAAGGACTGAGTCTGGTGTCCGCGAACTAGACGAGACCCAAACTTGAATCAGGTGCATGTGGAGGCTTTATTAACACTTCTTTTTCAGTTATCTTCATAAATCTAGAAAGTTTTATAAAGTCATTTTAATAGAATTAAATTTAAGTAGCTCAAAACTATGATAATGCCATTCTGCTTCAGTTATTATTTGGCTCTGAACTGCTAATATCACAACTAGAGCTAGACAGGTGCTTATGCCCTCTGGGTGCATATGTGCTACCGAATTGGGAAATAAAGTTTTGTTGACAATCTCAGGTGGGCTGCACCTCTCAGGTGGGGTGGAGGGGTTATCTGGCCTACAAGATGCATTTAGGAATCTTAATTCCCGCTTCCCTTATTTTACAGATGAGAAATATGAATAGAATGTTAAAACTACTGCACATCAGCTGAACACATCAGCACCATACTGTTATTCTCTTTCAGTTACTGGGGCCACCAGAGCATGATCTATTCTTAGTGAAATCAGACTGTTATTTCAGAGAGTTTTGTTACTGCGGAAACAACAGAAAAGACCTCCCCCACATCTAATTTTCTATTCTCAGGTACAACCTTAGAACAATGCCAGATTACTTGTAAGCCTCTAGGATTTACTGCAGTACCTAAATCCACCATGAGGAGACGCCCGAGTGCCGTGTAGAAGGTAGTTCGACACCGCATGTCTGTCAGGTTGGACTGATTGTTAATACCCAAAAATGAAAAGTGCTCGCTCTATTGAAAAAAAGAAAACAAGTTAAAACGATAAAAACATGGGTTAGAGGCAGAATTCAAGCCAGTAATTTTAGAATTACTGAGCCCTTCAAGCGAATGGCTACATTCCTTAAGGGTCTGAGGGGGTATTAAAAAAAATTTTTTTTAAAAATTATTGTTACTGTTACCTACATCTAGTTAATCTCAGTATGAATAATGGTAGGCAACGTCACCATAACTCAGATCACCTGGACCCCAAAGAGCGTGATGGCAGTAAATGCAATCTGGCAGCGTGGTGCCAGCCAGGGGACAGTCTTTGGCTGCAGCAGCACCAAGGACCTCAATTGAACCATCTCCTTTATATGCTGAGAAAGTGTGTGTGCGGGGGGTGACTGGAGGGTAAAAAGCAGGAAAGGGGCTAAAATCACTCACCGTGTGATTGTTCAGCATGAACTGTACCGCACTAAGCTTCACTAGTTTCCGTACACTACTGTACGTAAAGGCAAAGGAAGAAGGTCAAGGAAAGCGAGATGCAAGCCAGGAATTTTCAATGCAGGATGAAACTTTCTAAGATAGAAGTACAGTTTTTTTCTTTACTATGATTCTATACCCAGATAATCTTATTTTTCTAACCACTTGAGTATAATACTGCCAAAAGGGAAAAAAATGTGCCCTCTTCTAAGCAGTATTTAACTGATCAGTGAGATACCCATACCAAACTCCTATCTGTAAAAAAAGATAAAACCCAGCAGTTTCCCTCAAGAATCATGAATATCCTAGAGTAGCTTTTCTCAATAGGACTTCTAAGAGAATAAGCCCTGAAGCCCTGCCTAAGGGATGCACTATGTATGGTGAATTAACTTTCTCTGCTATGCATTTAGAATGGTACTACCTATGTACAATCTTTGGGGGAATTGAGAAAAAAGTCACTCAAATAATATTTGTAGGGTTTACTGCTCTTGCAGACCCTTGGTTGCGAAAGGCTGTCTTAGAGCAATTCACTTTACAGCAGGCCTAGTCCAAGTCAAGAGGAAATACAGCCACTACTTTTATTGCAAAGCTTGTAATCATGTTGCTTCTATCTACAGGCTGCTAAGACAATCAAGATGAACTTTGCCACCACTGAGGATTCTAAAATCTTGGCCATAAAGAGTGTATGCAGATCAGACAGGTCTATTGGGTACTTCTGGGTCTTAGAGATAGCTAGGGACAAATCTGTAGGAAACTCTTAGCTTGTGCGTTGGCTCATTTTTGGGGTCTGGAGTTATTCCTGAATCCTGTGTGGTTATTGCCTTTGGATCCTAGGAGAAGGGAAGATACTTAAGCACACATAAGGCTAAGGTCAAGTGGAAACGGCAGGCGGCCAAAGCTTCTAAGAGGTGGCACCACACAGTTCCTGTTGTGCACAGAAGCTGGCTTAGGGAAGGATATCCAATGGAGAGGTCATTGAGAAGTTGTAGCGTCTTGGAGGTGATTGGCTCACAGCGGCCCCAGTACTTCAGGTTGGTGATGCTGGAGGACAAAAAAGAAAAAAAAAAGCAAGAGACACTTTTGATTTGCCTGGTTTCCTTGAGGGTTGGGAGAAGAAAATCATCCATCAAGAATCACCACACATCTGCATCACCAATTCACAGACATCACAACCACAAAAAATGGGTATAAAATCTCCGTACTTACATTTGGTTGACTAGAAAAATTATCCTTCAGATAATCTTCACTACTTGGTTCCAAAGCTACACTGGCCCATACCCAGGCCCTTGGAATTCTGGGGCACTCCAGGGCTGATTTCTGCAGCAAGGGTAAGAGATTTCTGCGGCAGTGATAACATGCAGACGTATGCAATTCTGCACCTGCACATCCACTGTCAGCTGCAGAATTCTAGTAGCCCTTGCTTCTGGGTTCTCGGCTGGCAGAGTCCTTTAGACCCCCTTTGCTTTTTTTTATTTTAAATTATGAACCAGCGCGTGGTTAAGAGTGTTTAGGATTCGGGTGGTTGGAAGGAGACAAAATGTCACTTTGCACACAGCCCTGGGTAATTTGGCTCCTAGTGTGTGCTTTGATAAATTGAGCTCCTAAAAAGGGGGATATGTAAACAAAGGGGCACAACTTAAAAACA